TTATATATAATACTAAATCCTCCTTTATCAAGATATTCAATATTTTTCAATTTATCATAAGGAATTCATTCTAATAGTTGCATTTATTTTGCATATTCATTTGAATTTCTTGAATAAATTTATCAATAAATATATTATTACTAGTTCAATTAGAAAAATTTTGTTGAAATATATTAGCATAACATTCTTTACACCAGTTATAGCTAATATTATTTTTATTACAATTTAAGCAAATTCCTTTTTTCTAAATAATAATAAGTATTACTATTGTAATTTTATTATAACTTTAAATATAAAAAAAGTATTATTTACTTAATAAATATATTTATTAAATATTTAATAAATAATTTATATTATTAGTTTAAGTTAAAAATATAAATAATTAATAAAATATTTACCATCTAATATTAAATATTTTTTTATAAATAAAGATTTAATTAATTTAAGTTATAGTAAAAAGCATAATTAAATATTAATTAAATAAAAATAATTTACAATCTAAATTTATTAATTATATATTTAAATAAAAATTTAGTGAGATTAAATTATAGTAAAAAATATAATTTAAATACTGGTAATAAAATTATTTACTATCTATTATATTATTAATTTTTTTTTTAAATAAAAACTTTAGTTAATTTTAAATTACAATAAAAAGTATAAATAAATATTAATTAATAAAAATAATTTACTTTCTAGTAATATTTTATTTTTTAAATAAAAAATTTAATTAATTTTAAATTATAATAAAAAGTATAATACAATACTAATTAAATAACTTACTTTCTTTAGTAATATTTTATTTTTTAAATAAAAATTTAGTTGATGTTAAAATATAAATAAAAAATAAAATTAAATATTGATAATAAATAAAAATAATTTACCATCTATACATTATTGATTATTAATTATTTAAGAAAATTTAGTTAACTTTAAATTATAATTAAATACTAATAATTATAAAATAGCTTACTATCTATTATATAATTAATTATTAATTATTTAATTGATTTTAAATTACAATTAAATATTAATAATCAATAAAAATAACTTACCTACTAATAAAATTTTTAAAATAAAAATTTAGTTGATTTTAAATTACATTAAAATGAATAATTAAATACTAAAAAATCAATTAATTACTTACAATCTTTATTAATATTTTTGTGATTTAATAAAAAATTTTAGTTGATTTTAAATTACAATAAAAGTATAATTAATTATTAATAAAAATAACTTACTTCCTTTAGTAATATTTATTTTTTAAATAAGAATTTAATTAATTTTAAATTATAATAAAAATTATAATTAAATACTAATAAAAATAGCTTACTCCCTTTAATAAAAATTTGTTTTTTAAATAAAATATTTAGTTTTTTCAAATTATAATAAAAAGTATAATTTAAATACTAATAATTAATAAAAATAACTTACAATCTAAATTATTAATGATTATTTAAATAAAATTTTTAGTAAACTTTAAATTATAATAATAAGTATTATAATAAATAAATAATTTACCCCCTAATAAAATTTATTTTTAAAATAAATTTTGACTTTAAATTATAGTAAAAAGTTTAATTAAATATTAATAATTAATAAAATATTTTTACAAGCTAAATTATTAAATTTTTTTTAAATAAATAATTTAGTTGATTTTAAAAAAGTATAATTAATTATTAATAATTAATAAAAATAACTTACTTTCTAATAAAATTTATTTTTTAAAATAAAAAATTGAATTAATTTTAAATTATAATAAAAGTTTAAATAAATACTGATAATCAATAAAAATAAATTACTTCCTTTAGTAATATTTTGTTTATAAATAAAATTTTAGTTGATTTTAAATAGTAAAAAGTATAATTAATTATTGATAAAAATAACTTACTCCCTTTAATAAGATTTTGTTTTTTTAAATTAAAATTTAGTTAACTTTAAATTGTTATAAAATACTAATAATTAATAAAAATAACTTACAATCTAATTATTAATTTTTTTTTTTTTAAATAAAAAATATAGTTAATTTTAATTATAATAATAAGTATAATTAAATACTGATAATCAATAAAAAGAACTTACCGATAAAATTTATTTTTTTTAAAAAATTTATTTGCATTTAAAATATAATATAAAATATAATTAAATACTAATAATCAATAAAATAACTTACTTGCTTTAATAATATTTAGTTTTTAAATAGTTAAGTGATTTTAAATTATAGTATAAAATATAAATAAATACTGAAAATCAATAAAAATAACTTACTATCTTTTGTATATTAATTATTAAATAATTAAAAAAAATTTTTTAATTGATTTTAAAGAGTATATTTAAATATTAATAATCAATAAAAATAATTTACAATCTAAATTTTTAAATAAAAATTTAATTATTGATTTTAAATTATAATAAAAAGTATAAAATATTAATTAATATCTTACTTTCTGTAATATATAAAAAATATTAATATTTTTTATTTAAATTATAATAGAAATTATAATAAAAAAATAATTTACCTTTCTAAATTATTAAAAATTTATTTTTAATAAAAAATTTATTTTAAATTATAAATAGATATAACTTACTAACTAAAATATTATTAAATTATTAAAAAATTTATAAAATAAATTAATTAAGTTTAAATTTATATGTAAATAGTAAATAACTTACTCCCTATTGTATTATTGATTATTAAATATTATTGATTAACAGCTTTAATTAAATTTAAATTGTATAAGTTAAATATAATAAAAATTAAAAAGCATACAATCTAAGTAACAACATTTATTATTATTTTTTTTTTTGTAAAAAATAAATATATTAATAATTAAAGAATAATAAATTTGATTTGTAAATCAATGATAGATAAATAAGGTTTTTTACCGTTTAATTCTTTTAATGTAAAATCATTTGGAATATCTAGACCTTGTTCTATTATTATTTATTTGAAATAATTTTATAAAGCTTTCAGTAAACATAATTAAATATATTCAATAAATTATAAATTATATATATATATTTACCTTTATAGCTTGAAGTGGATTCTATATTTAATATTTTAATTTTTAGCAAACAAAAATCGTATATAATTAACGAATTATATAATATTGAATGTGATTAATGATACATGGTATTACCTTCTAATAAAGGAGCTTTATTAGCATCGGAAATTGTCTCTAATGCGAATATATAAAAAAAAATCAGAATATCATCCAACCGTTGGCATTTTAAGTTCATGCCATTTATTCCTTTTTTTTTTTTTTTTTGTAATTTCATTTTTATTATTTTTATTACACTTTTACCTTTGCTGTTACTATCAGACATTGTTAAAAATTTATAAGAAAAAAAATTTTTTATTTTTAACCAACCTTGTATAACGATAATGATGTAACCCAAATACTTCATGTGACGATCTTTGTTGTTCATGTGATATAATGTTTACATCCAAGTGTAACTAAATAAGTCAATGATATTGTTTTTTGGAGATCAGTTTATTAAAGACTACGCCTCCTTTTGAATTTAATTTAAACTCTGAAAACTAGATCATTCCTAAATTTTTACTAGAGCAGTGGTTACAATTCTGACGATATTTATTAAATTACCCAAGAAAAATCCTTAACGTACACCATCATTTTCAGACTAAATTCAGCTGCTCGAGAGTTAACAAATTTGAATTTTTTTTTTTAATATACGATAACTAACTAGGAACTTAAATTTGAATTTTCATTGTAAATTGATCTTTTTGCCACAACTATCGTTGCATAATGTTCTGAAGAGAATTGCTACGCAAAGCCTTCATAGTTGAAATTGCTAAAAAAAAAAAAAAAAGGATAATTTATCTATCAAAGAAAAAATAATTTTCTAAGCTCGTTGGTGAAATTTCTTATTTAGAATTGTTATGATATTATTTTGTTCAAAACAAATTAATGAATTATGTAAATTACGTAATCAGCAGCGCAGGCATAATTTAAAACGCGTGATGGTAAGTGTAAGTTACTACCTTAATTTCTTTTACAGAATAAAAAAATAAATTTAAAGACACGACGAGAAAAAAAAAATTTAATAAAAAGAAACGTTTTTCTGCGCTAATGACTCAAAAACTGAAATTAGACGATGTTGTTTTTAATTTTTTCGTATCATTTTCAGCAGAATATATAAATCATAATTTTTATAAGTAACATCAATATTATTAAGCTCATTATTGACTTCTTGAATATTTGATCTATCATGTGAGTTATATCCCCAACATTCTATTTAAATATATTAATTATTACATTATAATAAAGTTTAATGAATAACCGATATTGTAAATTTATTTACGTACTCTGATAAAGTTCAACAAATATCCCAAATATTTTTTTATTATGCTCAGCTTTTTGAGATATCTCAATAAACCTTTGGGTTATTTCCATTAAAAATTCCGTAAATGGTTGGTTCTAACAAGTCGCATACGGTTTCTACTGTATTGATTGCTAATTCCATCGCATTAAGCATTGGAATAATTTGCTTTACATTTGTTACACTACCACCAATATGAATATTCTATAATAGCATCCGCTGAGAGTTATGCCCTTAATTTAGGATATGTTCGTGGTTGAAATAATAATTTTGGATAATTTATTTCCACTCAAACAATATTATTACTAATAACGCAATCAAGAAAAGCATACGTTGTACAATTTTATAACAAATTATTTATTTATTAATCAAAAAAAGGTACTTACCCTATAAATATTGTTTTGTTTTGAATTATCCATCTAATTAATATCATATTTCCTTTATTTACTTTTTGTTAACCAGTTAACAGGCAATAAACAAACTTATGATTTAAACCTGTTTATTTTATACTTGTAATACATTATAAATATCATCGGTAATTAAAAAAATAGAAATATTTAAATTTTTTTTTTTTTTTTTTTTAATAAAAAAAATAAATAAGTAAGTAATTAAATATAAATAAACAAACGAAACGATTTTAAAAACGTATAATTGATAATATGGTTGATGTAAATGAAGTAACCGAATTTAATCTAAGAGGGACGATAACAATATTAGTAACCAGCACGATTAGTAATTTAGCAGTTGTCTTGGTGTTTTGGTATCTAAGAAGCAAAATCATTCATTAATATATATCGTGATTAGAAGATTAGTATTGAATCTATTTTTATCCGATTTTATACAGTCAATCGGATTCATGTTAAGCTACAATTGGGTCATTAAGGGGGTAATAGAACCAGGAATTTACTGCGATATACAAGGGTTCCTCATCAATTTAGGAGACATTTCCTCGGGATTTTGGGTATTCGTAATATGTTTGCACACTTACATACAATTGATTCATGAACGGGAATATCCACATACAGTATTTCTGTCCATGATAACCATATGGCCGTTCAATATCGGGTGTTACAAAAACATGTATTGTACGGTTGGCTAAATATGTATTGTATGGTTGATTTTTTCGCATGTATGGAATACATACATTTTTAGTAACCATACATGTACAGAAAAAAGATGAACAGTTCGATCAAATATTAAAATTTTATTTTTTTAACCTTCTCAATTACCTTTAACGTCCAAGTTTATACAAGAAATCTAGTGTCCTTAAAAAAAAAAAAATAAGAAACAAAATATCAAAAACATTCTTAAATCCAACTAAATAAAAACAAAAAAAAAACTCATTTTAAAGAAAAATAAGCGAGTTACTTTTTTATAAATAAATAAACTGAGTTACGTGACAAATCTTGTGGGTTGTACAAACTATGTATGTATTGTTACTAAAAATGTATGTATGTCATACATTCGAAAAAATCAACTGTACAATACACGTTGTGATCTGTACAAACATCAAAAAACGGTAAGAAGAAGTCTCAGAAGGGTTTTACAGAGAGTGAATAAGAAGCTTGTATGGTATCCTGTTGTCTATATTGTTCTCGTATTTCCGTTAGCCCTTCGTAAGTTATCCTTATTTCGATCTTTGGTTATTCAAAAAAAAAAAGGTAAAATAAAATTGGGGAATAAATTCATCTAATGGATTCCCTATAAAATTTCCTGAATCTATCCAGGTTTATCAGAGAATATCCGGAAAATAACCATTATTTGTCCTAAAAAATGATCAAGCTTGCTGTTTAGGTTTATTCAAACCTCAGAAACATCCAGAATTTGTATAGAAAGAAATTTAATCTTTTTTTCTAATATAGAATATGTTCGGAATTTGTATTAAAATTATGTGTCTATTTTTCTAATACAGAAAATGTCCGGATTATGTATTAAAATTTATGTCTGGAATATGTATTCCCTATAAAAAATAAATGTCCAGAAAATGTCAACAAAAATGTCCAGATATATCAGAAATGTTCAGATTATGTATTGAAATTTATGTCCGAAATATGTATATTTTTTTTTAATACAAAAAATGTTCAGACGGATTTTACAATTGTATTATTCGTGTATACTGATAATCAATTTTCTTTTTTTTTAACAAAAAAAACTTTTTTTTAAACATTAATACAGAGATTTCATGACGAAATTCGAGCATTTTGGTCAAAGTAAAGTACCTTTCATTTCTAAGTAAAAGTTTTTTTAGCAGATTTGATACTATTTATATCTAAATTTCATCAAAAGTTGGTTTAATATTCGTGCAGTAATATTTTTTTTTGTAAATGAATCATACTTTTTTAACTTCACAAAGAAATTTGAGCACTTTGGTTAAGTTAATTGTCTTTCACTTCTAAGTGAAAGTAGTTCAGTAGTTCAATACTATTTGCATATAAAATTTAATCTTGATTGGATTAATATTCGTGTAGAAATAATTTTTTTTGTAACTTTACTAAATAAGTCATACTTTTTTGACTTCACAAGGAAATTTGAACACTTTGGTCAAAGTCAATCGCTTTTCATTTATAAGTGAAAGTTGTTCAGCAGGTGCGATACTATTTGCATATAAAATTTAATCTCGATTGAATAATATTCGTATTGTAATATGTGTTTTATAAATTTATTAATAGCGCGATCCTTTTTTTTTAACTTCACAGGATAATTTAAGCACTTTGGTCAAAGTCAATCACTTTTCATCTCTAAGTGAAAGTTGTTCATGTTTGATACTATTTATATCTAATTTTTATCTCAATTGGATTAATAAATTTATTTGTAACTTTACTAAATAAGTCACACTTTTTTGACTTCACAAATAAATTTGATCACTTTAGTTTAAGTAAACTGCTTACTGCGTATTAAGTAAAAATGTTCTATTTATCTGATATTACTTATATATAAATTTTTATATTGATTTTTTTAATATTCGTTAAGTAATAGCTTTTCGTAATTGTATTAATTCTCAAATTTTTTTTTGTTTTTTTGAATATTTATTTATGTAATTTATTAAATACTGTATCAATATAAATTTATATCACGAATTTACTACATTTTATAGAAAAAAAAGTACCAAATAAAAGTATTTAATAGTTATTACTTTGTTTTGTTATAATTAATTTTTTTTTGAATAAATTTAAAAAATTTTTTTTTATTAATTTTATTGTATTTTTAAGATTAAATAAAACAGTAATTAATATAATAATTAAATGTTATAATTACAGTTTTTTATCAGAATTTTATTCTTTTTCAAATGTGCTTTTTAATTATAATAATTAATGATAAATTTAAAAACTTTTATAAAGAGTAAAGTTCACTTTGAATTTTATAAAAGTTTGCAAAAAAAAATATTTTCACTCATCTGTTGCATTCTTTGCTTTATATTTTTTGATTGTTTACATGTTCTTGTAAATTTTCCAATCATGTGATCTGTTTACATTACACCTAATCATCTAAAAATCTAAAAATGGTAATATATATAAATATTATTTATTTTTTGTTTATTAAAAAACTCTTTCCGCAATATGAGCAAACTAAAGAAAGAGACAAATAAAAACTAACAAAAACAACAACCTTGCTCCCACTCTGG